CACCCGAGTGTATCTTTTAAAAAAAATAATAATCCCGCCATCCCGGAGTCCTATACTTCGCAACGCTCAGACTTAGAATGAACTTAAGTGACCCAAACATTCGCGGTACTCACTCGACGCCCTATCATCATGTGTGTGACATACAAACGCGCAGGTTCAGTGACCGTCACGACGGCGAGCCCGACAACACGCTTGTATAACTTTCTTTTCTTTTTAAACAAGAGACAAATATTGATTTGTTTTCATAGCGACACAGCCTTTGTAATGCACAAACTGCATGTTACAACAATGTTGTGTTATCAGACTTTTATCGGAAAATTTCAGGGAGGTAGTGAAAGCGAAACTAGATCTAGATTTTCCCGATCGAGCCTCGGCATCACTCGTACACTTCCGCTTGCCGCCATAGTCGCCTGTTCGCATGAAACGTACTCTCAGACCGAGAAAAGCTGAATGATCGCGACCGACAAAATGAACTTAGGGACGTTATCGGATTTGGTTTTCAAATATTCGAGAACTTTTATGTATTTTCCCTGGTTTTTCCCAAGGCAACTTACAGATTTTCTCAAATTTCCTTTTATTGCCGACGTTTATCCAACCATTTCCGTCGGAACAAAATTTTTCCGACAAAAATCCGACTTATCCGACTTAAACAAAAATTTCCGACCAATTTCCGACTTTCCGACTTCCCTGGCCACCCTGTTATTTCATGTTATCTGTCATAGAGGGACAGACAATTGTTTGAACTGAAAAAGACAGACGAATAGATGGACAGAACGACAAACAGACAGAAACTCAAGCACATGAATCAAAGATACAGGTGAGTTTTTCGACAAAAAAATACATGTGTGTTTTACCCTCCTCTTATTACACGTATATGGATTTTCAAAGAAAGAAATCTCTGTTTCAGAGAAAAGGCGCCGTATGCGGTCAATATTTTTCTACCATAGCCGTCTGTTGCTGATCGCTTTTACCCCACAGTTCAGCAGGTTCATGGTTTTGCCCTGAAGCCACCCTTGTTATCCTTATAATAATAATATGTGAAGGATACTGACAAGCAGATTTATAATACTCGCGGCACAAATCGTGACAGTGTTCACATTATGCGCTAGTAAATCGATTTAACGAGACAGATATGTCTCGTTTTCTGAATAAAATAAACTCGTATATTTTGGTGTGATGGCTTCTCTTCGCTTCTGAGCACAGAATAAACGGAGTCGATTCCCATTTCGTAGAAGCTAATTTAATGATGAACATGAAATCCAAGATTTATCACATGTGTCTTCTTTACGATAAATCTCTTTGTTGGAAAAAGCAGTTAATGATATGTAGCAGGAGAGACTTATGGTTATGGTAATAATAATATCATAATAATATAAAAGCGTTAGCGAGCCAGTTTTAGATCTAGTGGGAATACTATTGGCTTCTTCTTAAGGAGTTGATTATGTCAAAATATAATACCTTGCAGGAAAGAATTAATACCAATATAATATTGAGAATAATAAATTTTCAACGAATGGAGATTGGCGAGTCATTCAGTACAGCGTGCAGAGCAAGGAGCTAGATAGATAAATAGATTGTCAGATAGGGAGAGAATGAGAGAGAAAGAAATGGAGAGAGAATGGGACAGAGAGAGAGAAAGAGAGAGAGAGAGAGAGAGAGAGAGAGAGAGAGAGAGAAAGAGAGAGAGGGGGGGATAGAGAGAAAGAAAGAAAGAAAGATAGATAGATAGATAGATAGATAAATAGATAGATAGATAGATAGATAGATAGATAGATAGATAGATAGATAGATAGATAGAGAGACAGACAGAGAGAGAGGGGGGTGTAGAGGAGGGTGGGGTAGGTCGACGAACAAAATGCACGAATATATGATCACTGGTTTAATAGAAGCTGCAGGGTCTACTCAACAGTTCACAATATTCCAAAAAAGTATAAACAAAAATTAGAAGCTGTAAAACTTACAAATAAAAGTCAGAACGTATTCATATTTGACGAAAAGGCAAATTTCGGAATGCTCTGAGCCGAATTAAACGAACAAATATCAAGCCAACAAAAACATTGCAACCAAAAATTTGAAACATTTTCAACTGCACTACAGTTTTGTCTTGTTTGTTTTTTCTTTCGAAAAATTCGATAAAATTCATTAATTGAGCAAGATCAGGACAAGTCTATAAAATATGGACGAGGGAAAAACAGGATATATAGAAATGTTGGACTCTGTAGCCTGCTGATACTGAAAGGACGGAGTCCCTTTACTTTGTTTAAATCTGCGCGAATAAAGCGAAATCAGGCACTGAAAGCTTCGATTGCTGCAAAGATTTGCTAAAACTCTTCAAAAATGCACGGTGCAGTTAATGTTATTTAGACTATTACTATAAGTACGTTTCACAAGGGTCCGGTAAGGGAATCCTGAAAGAAGATCGCCATTGTGTTAACATTTCCTTTTTAAATTTGACGGTTCCCGCAGAGGTTGCCAGATTACAAAATACTCCCTGTAACAGTTTTCTCAGAGATTGTCAGCGTGTAAACATTCTCTTTAACATTCCTCTCCGAGATTGTCAAAGTGTACAAATATTACCTAATCTTCTCTAACATTTCACCCCTCGCCAGGAAAATCCTCATCAACTATTATCCAGAATAATTAATGAGCAGTATGCGACAGTAGCAAGCAGACTTTGTTTTTATTTTGCAATTTACGAGCGAGAGGACTAAAAGTCTATTCATTCTACAAGCGGTTTGCGGGTAGGTTGATTCCCGATCTCCACCCAGAAAAACGAGCCCAATCGCCGATGACCTGAACCGGTGTTGATTTCCGCCGAGGGCCTCGATGTCGTCTGGCGCCGTCTTCCGGTCTGACCCACGTGACCTGCAGGTCGCTGTGTGGTGAAACCGAGGCGCTGCCGCAGTACATCCTGTAATGAAAGATCGAAAGAAAGCTATTCATTAGCACACTGGTTATCATATTATTTGTCCTGTTTTTGTTTGCGTGCGGACCTAATGCGCTTATAGTTTAAGCCACAAATAGGTCAATGCGAAATCAGAGCCCTTGGCAAAGATGAGTGTGGGGAGGGGGGTGGAGAGAGAGAGAGAGAGAGAGAGAGAGAGAGAGAGAGAGAGAGAGACAGAGAGACAGAGAGAGAGAGAGAGAGACAGACAGAAAGAGGAGATTAAACCTATGGGTTGGGGGGGGGGGTAGATTTACAGTGCATAAAAATCAACCAACCAACAAACCAAAGTCAGGCACACATAACAAAAATCACCAGTAACAACAACAATAACAAAATCAGGCACTACTGGCGAAAATCAGGACTGGCTTCTTCTCTGGGCTGTGGGCCTACAAACACAGATAACAACACATTGGGCCCAATATGTCCATTGTGCAGCAACGAGTCCCAATATTTGGAGCACTGGCTGCAGAGATGCCCTGCTACGGAGATCCGGTAATGGCATCTCTTTGGGGAAGATTCAGGGAGGTTGGACTGCCTCACCTGCTACCCAAGAGAGGCGGTGGCTCTGGCGAAGAGCACGTTCTTCGGGGCTCCAAACACTTTGGAAGGTTACGTACCACCTGGATATCTGGATACCTGGAGGTGTCATCTCTAACTCAGAGGTTGACGTGTAATGACCCTCCACCTTTCATGGTCGCGAGTAGTCTTTGCACATTCTGCCATATCCAGGCCAGTCCATGTTCTTATATTGTCCATCCATGTTATTCTATGCCTTCCACTGGCTCTCCTGTCCCATTTCTTTTCTTCAAGCACCCCTTTCACAATGGTCTCGAGCCGTTTTAGGTGGCCATAATATTGTATTATTTTTCATTTTCTTTTGTTCAGCAGGGTTTGTCTTGTGTGTAGAATCAGAGACACTTCTTTGCTTGTCTTTTTTGTTTTCCAACTTATTCTCGCCATTCTAAAGTAGCTCCACATCAGCAAAAGAACAACAAATTCTCACACTCCTACCTGACGGTTCACGCTTAAAGAACACTTCCTCGTTTCCAAAGTGAGAAACAATTGCTTTGAAGGCGACATTATTATAAGGTTCCATTTATTTTTCTCTCTTTGTGTAATTTCTTGGTATCTGTCTTAACCCCTCTCCCTTTTCGAACTAAGGCAAATTATATTGAGTCGATATGGTTTTCTTTACCCAGGAATTCAACACACTCACAACACGAAACATAGAAACAAACAAACACACTAACAAAATAATTTTTTTTTAAAGTGAGCAAACAAAACAAAAGTAAAACAAAGCCACGAGGTGAGTACCCAGCCTTGACCTTGACATTCCATGCTGTTGGTCTCTTAACATCCTCCCAAAAAGCAAACAAACAGACGAACCAAACACAAAAACAAAATGTAAAGGAAAAAAAAGCCTGCAAGCAAACAAAACAAAATCAAAACAAAAAGCCACGAGGTGAGTACCCAGCCTTGAACTCGGTAAACTCATGAGACATTCCATGACCCCAGCCACACGAACGTCTCCTGGCGAGGTCACGACCCGACGCACCCAAACAGTACAGCGAGTTGCCCTTGAGAAATACCCAAAGAGTACAACTGGAAACATTTGCAATCAGTCTATGTCAATGTTCTCGTACAAATGAAAACATTTGCAGTCAGCCTGTGTCAATTCTCTCAAAAGCTGTTAGACGCCAGGTTCCAGATGTGTGTGTGTGTGTGTGTGTGTGTGTGTGTGTGTGTGTGTGTGTGTGTGTGTGTGTGTGTGTGTGTGTGTGTGTGCATGTGCGGGTGTAGATTGTCGATGATGAGGCAAGGGGACTTCAGCGGTCGAGTGGCATATGAATTCAGGCGTTCAAATACGGTCAAACAATGTCGGTGAAACAGCGTTTAGATGAGTGGTCAGTGGTGTGTGTTGTGGCGCCAGACACGATATAACCTAGGCTAAAAAAAAACCCGTCATTACTATTTATATTATGATATTAGTTGTATTGTGAAATTAGAGGGGTTTTTTTGTATTTGCGATTTACCATTGTGAAAAAATGGTGAAATTGTATAGGTTTAACGCCCATATCAATACTATTAGGTTATTTAAGAGACAGTCTCCAAGTTTAACGTCCATCTCCAAAAGAACCGAGCCAAAAAAGAAATTCATGCAAAGTGCCTTTCCCAAGGATAAAACATCGGACCAAGCTGAGGCTCAAACCCCTGAACCCGCAATCTCACGATCACGGGTCCGGTAGCCTAACCACTAGGCTACCGACGCCACCACATACCACTGCAACCCAATCTTCTGGACGGAGATATACAAGGGTAATATGTAGCTACTTTCTTATCTTTCAGTATAGCAGCAATTTATTTTGTTCAGAGGTAATACTTACTTTCTTCTCTTTCTGCAGAGCAACAATTTATTTCGTTTATTTTTTATTTTTTAACGTGCGCATTATGTTCATTTTCAGAATTCAAATTTAAATGGTACCCAGGAAAATAATACGCAGCGGAAAAATGATACTCAGCGCATTATATAGGTCTCACGATTCTGGTGAACTGAGGCTGATGCTGCGTGAAATTTTTCACGCAAAGCACGTAATCTATACTAATAGCCGGCAGATCGGTTACATGAAAAGAAAAATCAAAATTAAAGATGTAAAATAAGAAACAACTTTACCTATATTCAAACCAGGACATTACAATTTAATTATACAAGTCAAAAGTTATGTGGAAACCCCCCCCCCCCCCCGGTGCAGTTATTTGGATACTGTGCACAAAAATGCAATACTCACACGCACACTTAATTTCATGAGTAATGTATAAGACAATCATTTTGATCTTTTCCCAACAACAGACAATGAATTTATAACGTAAGTTGAGGTGATAGATCCAGATTTATCCTACAGGAGAAAATGCCAAGTTGTTATCACGAGTTTCAACGATTGTATACAACTGACAATTTCACAAGTAGGATAAATCATGGACTACCCCACTATAACTCAAGCTATACATACTTTTCTTATACCATACTAATATCAGCTGACAAAATACGAGTAAATTTGGACCAAAAATAAATCAAATGGCGAGTCAAGTGATCAAGAGTGTCACATGTAAACGAAATTTCTAGTCCCATCAAAGTTAGAGTCAGGAATGGACAAATAATCTGGATTCTTTCTATTTCAAGCGTTGTCTCAGTGGGTGACGCAAAGCAGTCATCTAGGCCACCTATGAGTAATAATACTAATGTGCACAAGACGCTAAAAGCATTTGCAGGTTTATTTTGGCGCTATCTTTATCTATTTTTTTCTTCTATGTTCTGTGTTTGCGCTCAGTGGAATTGAGCACTTTTACTTCGTTTATTTCAGAAAATGTCTTTGTCTGTGTCGTTGAAATAGATATGAATTTGATGTTAAATTTCGCAATTTAGAAACCAAAGGGAAAGACGAATGTAATCCGCTGAGTAATTTACTCAAATTACTTATAAACTGCTGATATATCACGCATGAGACATTTCTTTGTATATTCGGGAGTGCAATCTTAAAACAACTCCATTATGTATAGTATAAATTTTGCATTATTACAAGATGGTTGTTACCTCTGTTTGAGATACTAAAATGGAGTGCCCCACAATATCGATGGAGACATATTATTCATTGCAAGTTTAGTATTATTACGAGTGTAGCATCTTTATGAAGAAAAATATATTTCAAAGAAAACAGATTTTAAAAATAACGTTTCTTTGAGAAAAAAACCACACGATTTTGCGAGATCTGGAGACGACATCTTTGATACGGCAAAATCCGGTAAATACGTATTGTAGAAATCAGGAGAGCTGATTTTTTAAATATCGTACTGTGTTCTTTTCGCAATAACCCTATTACACGTAATTTAATACAAATGTGTTTGGGGGTATTTGAGGTTCATCTTCGATTTTTATTTCTTCATTTGAAATAACTATACTCACGCAAGAAGGAAACGTATTGTTTGTTTCGTAACAGTGCCGTTTCAAATGGGTCTGTATTTGGTGTTCACGGTAGAGATTCGTCACCCCCCCCCCCCCCCCCCAATTTATTTTAATTAAACTGTATTCTCACAAAAGGCGGATGTCTTATTTGAGAACTGTATAAAAAAGAAGTGATGTATTAATCAAATGCCGAAAATAAGAATAATGCAATCTTTAAGAATAATGCAATCTTTAAGAAACAAGTACACGTACATGATATCCACAGAACGCTGTAACCAACTTTCTGGCGACAAGGAGGTCTTCTGATCATTCGGGTGCGTGGGTGTATTTAAACGATCTGCTGTTCACAGTATCATCCTGTCATTGGCAAAGTATTGCCCCCCCCCCCTTACACACAAATCCACCTTTTCCTGTAGTCTTGCAACGAGGCTGTTTTTTGTGTTTTGCTTTGTTTTGCTTTAGTTACTGTTTCATGGTACTTGCCACTCGATCAGGTCAAATTAGAGGTGTTACAAGAGCGTAAAAAACACACACACAAAGAAGGAGAGATAAGGATGATAGATGTTTGATAAGAAAGGAGGAGCAGACCACACCAGGGCACCCACCAAATAACCACGGCGGGAGGCTGAGAAGAATTTATTTTTCACTTAAAACAGCAATGTGATGCTCAAATCGGAGGTCCTGTCACTTGAATAACGTAACGTAGTTGAAAGGGGCGTTACACCTGCACAAGGAACAAAGGCAGAATATGAGGAGATATTGTATTATTATTATTATTCTACATTTTAACCTGCTCAAACGGCCACTTGTCCAAGACAACCACATGTACCGACAACTACTCCCTCCCCACCCCACCCCCTTACGGTTTGAAATGTCATAATGCCACTGTCCAAAGTGTCCATCTGTCTAAGACAATCATTTTTCTACCCACCAATGGACGGTCGCCTTGGGCAATTAATTTCACTTGCATACCGACCTCTAGACAGGCATAGAACTGAAGAAGTAAGAACAACTATTGGCACTGAGTCCTGCCTGCATTTCATAGAAAAACAGAACAAAATGGTTTGGCCACTTGATACAATTGTCACCCAGGCAGCCAGCCTCGAGAGCCTATAACACCAAGCACCCGGGCTATAAATGAAGAGGAAGGCCACACAGAAGGTGGATTGAAGGAGTCAAGGAAACACTAAGAAAATGTAATATCCAAACAGAAGGAGCTGCGGAGTTGGCCTGCCATATGCCATGGAAAACTGCATCTACCCTCGACGCTTATCGGCAAATGAGGAGGAAAAGGTAAGAGTAAAAGTAGGTACAGACCTCTGGAATTTCCACCACGGGATCGTCCGGATCGGCGCAGTAGCTCTGTAGCGTGGCGAAGTTGCACGGCCGGAGACAACACTCGTCCACAATACGAGAGTTGACCTCACGCCGTGACCTCCCGGCGACCTTTGACCCTCCCATTTGGGCTGAGGGCGAGTAGTAGGAGGAGTAAAGCTTGTGCTCGGGCCGAGCGCCTCCCTCGTTCTGCTGGCGGCTACCCCCGGAGCCATCATAGGCAGCTGCCGAGGCAACGGGGGCGTGGCTGTCTGCTAAACTCGCTCCTCCGAGATTGTCTTTCCTCAAGCCTGTGACGTCATTGTGGTCGCTGATGGTCGATGACCCGGTGCCGTGCACGCTGGGGGGAGCAGGGGCGATTTTGTGGAGCATTCTGTACAAAGGTGAGAAGTCACGGACTCTCACGTGCGTCTGTTCGACACTGCGACCTGTTTCGAGCAAACGTGAAGTAATAATTATTATTAATGTTTGATGTCATCCCTACAGGTTGGGGGGGGGGGGCATAGTTTTACTGTGGTGGAGCAAAGAATACATCTGCCGTGAAACTGCGTATCGTAAGGGGCGAGTAAAGGTGCATAAGTCTGGTCGCCCGAAAAGTGTTTGTGGAGGGCCAACTACCTATCCCAGTAAAAGCGGAAAGTTATAGAAACATGAACAAACACACCTTATTATTTTTCCATCTTGAGAGACAGAGGAGCTTCATTCTGTATCAGCATGAACAATGAAGGACAGCAGGGAGAAGAGTCACGGAAACGGATGTACAGAAAAGTGGGAAGACTTGGAATGACATCAAGCGACTAGCCCGGGATAGGGAAAGGTGGAAGGTGTTTGTTCATGGCCTATATCCTGTTCTAGCGTGAGAAAGGCAATGATGAATGTTTGACGTAGTTTTTGAGTTTTAGTAGAGGTTTTTACGGAGCTCGCAACTGCATAAGGTCATGTGAGCGCCAAGGGGTGGATGTCAACAGAGAAATCCTTACCGGGATTCAGACTTACTCTGCTCACCTTTCTAGCTTCAACAACACAAAGTCTGCTTCGACTGTCAAGGCACTCCGGAATTAGAGGGTCACAAGAGTGTGACAAACACACAAAAGAAGTAGAGGAAAAATGACGATAGTAAGGATTAAGAAAGAAAAAGCAGCAGTTCCCTGTTGCAATTCAGGCACAGTTATGAGCATGACATTGATGAATCGACCCATTTACAATTACTCGTACAATTCTACTGTGCATAAGAACTCAAGATGGAAATGTCCTCCCTTTGGGAATGGCCTAAAGAAACTTCAGTCAGTAGCACCGCCCCGGGAATGTTTGATCTAGTTCTTGAGTTTTGGTAACCTGTCAGTACAAATTACATTTGCCATGTGCTGGTTTTCCTATTTGTTAAAACGTGTTTTGTTCTGTAATGGTTCGTGCGTGTGTGTGTGTGTGTGTGTGTGTGTGTGAGTGTGTTTGTGTGTGTGTGTGTGTG